TATCACCCTGGACTTGTCCAAATCCCACCACCACCGTCTGAATTTGTATGATACGGCAGCCCTTTGATTGACCGCTTCCCCCTTCCTGAAAATTGTATCATCAAGTATTCAATAAAAGGAAGTAAATAAACATATAACAAAATGTGATAACGTTGATATCCTATTGGGGTTCTACAGGAATTGCTATTCGAAATCGCAAGGCGAGGATTATCGGCTTTTGTCCGCTTAAGCGTGTCTTCGTTAGAAACGGGTTGAATCCTTCCATACAAAAAACGTAAACGACGAATAACTCCAAATTATCAATAAAAATAGATTACACGTACCGCCAGAGCTTCCAACATTGGACCCTTCCGATGATCAGGCATGTTCTCATCGGCGAGAATGAGTTCTTGACATTGATCAACTGCCTGATGCGCCGAATGTCCTTCCATCAAAAGATCCTGAGTTGTCCCATACGGGAAGCATCAAAGTATATATTTGATGAGATACATCAAGGGCAAATTAAAATCAACACGAAATACAATGATTGCAGCTGCCATTGGCTTGGCCAGCAGGAGAAAAATGTTGAGCCGATAACCGTCAATCAAGTGAAAATGGATTGAAACAGCTTATGTGAAGAAACAAGAAACATGGAACTGACAACATCAGTCGAGACTGATTTAAAATGAAGTATAGAAAAAGAGTGTAACTAAGATAAAACTATACGAGTACTGGGGCTTCGTCTCTTTCTTGGATTTATAAACGACCTGCCATATGCCCTTGGGCCTAATACACTGCTATTTGCGGACGGCGCTAAGATCTGGAGAACTGTAACATATCCAGAGGACTATATAGTACTCCAACAAACGATCAATGCAGCCCATTGATGGTCAATCACCAACGACATCGAGTTGAACATTTCTAAATGCAGTTATTTCCATGGGGCACAAGACTTATTGTTCCTATGTTCTGGGGAACCAAATACCGCATGCCACTGACGAAAGGGATTTAGGAGTTATGGTACACGAGGACGTAGGATGTTCCGCGCACTGTGCCAGAGCATCATCCATGGCTATAAAAAAAGTTGGACTACTCAGACGTATTTTCGAGCAGTTCGAAAGAGCCCAGTTCCCACGCTTGTTATCAACGTTCGTTCGGCTGCACACGAGGCACGCCGTTCAAGTAGGGAATCCATGGTTGAACCGCGACACGAAGGCTCTAGAACATCCGCAAAGGCTGGCAACAAAATTGGCAAAAGGTCTGTATAACAAGACATACTCCGAAAGACTGCAAATATTGGGACTCCACTCATCTCAATACCGCCGACTTCGGGGGGACCTAACCTTGAAATATCACATACTGCATCAACCCAACCACCCATGCCGTTCTATGCTAACTTTATCTCAAAATGATCACCTCAGGGGACATCCACTAAAGTTGAAGACCAAGAACAACCACCTTGATTGCTGGTATCACTCGTTTGCAGCCGGAATGTGCGGCGTATGGAATTCTCTTTCATCCGATGTAGTGTGCTCCCACAGTTGAACTATTTAAATCGCAACTTGATAAAGCATTGAAACACTTAAAATTTCGACATCCGTGAGTTATCACGCATATTATTATTATTATTTTCTCTTTATGAAGTCCATCACCGAATCTATATGTTTCGCCATAATTTTCGCTCAAAGCAACGGTTGGATTGCAGCGTGGGTCTCGGTGCTTCATTCGTCTCGGGTTCACTTTGTCGAAAGCTGACCATTGGAGATTTGAGAAACCTGGTTACATTTGATGCGCTGTGTTCTATTTACTCTCAGAGAAACATGAGAGCCGATTGATAGGCTTCTTTCCGTTATCCGATCGAGATATCGAATGCCGTACATTCATCTAGTTACGACGAAGGTTATTGAAGAGGCTCTCTGATCAGGTCATGGGACCATCTCTCCTGATTATTCAAGGAGGCACATTGTGAGATGAATTAGCCGAGCGGATTGCAAAGCAGAGCGCGTTGCATCAGTCAATTGTGTGTGAACCCTATTCCACCAAGCGAACACACATTGTAGCACACGGGGGTAAGAGCATGAGGAAGAAGTCGATTCTCTGAACTACTATAATCTACCGCACACCCCAAAAGTGTTTTCGAACGGCTGCAACAGGGAAAGGAAACAACCGACACAAAAAGAAAGGAATCAGGATAACACCACCCTACAAACGCAATAAATCATAACCCACCGAACGGAAATTGTTTGTGAATCAAGGTAGCCCACAAAAAAAGTAGCAACTATGAAATTGTTCCCGAACAGCGGCAGGGACCGAACTGAACAAGACAGTTGAAGTTTAAGTAGTCCTGTGTCTAGATTGTAGCGAACAACACCATGTAG